CTGCTTTTCCCACACCCACACCTCTTTCCTATAATAGCTTCATCTTGTAAAGAAATGAATGTCTGAGGCTTGAACTGTTGGTTTGAAAGATCACATTATCTTTAAAACCAGTCCTCAGTATGGCAGCCTAAGCAAATTTAAAAATAGCGATTAGACAATAAACTTGATTGTGTCACATTGATCTTTTTCTGAAGTGTTACTTGGCACGTTGTTGGGAACACGACAGATACTGATAATGACATTTAGTGAATGTGCATTGTGTTTATCTACAGGAATATATTAGGTGATCTTTGTAAAGTAGCATGAAATTAGTGCTCTGCACGAAAAGGAATTTTGTAATTTGAATTCTGACAAGAATTTAGGGGTTTAGTTAGAGTAAGAAAAAACAGAGCATAGTCCTTTATACTTGCTGCCTGCTGCAGATCTCTTTCCTTACTTGAATGAGTTCTGGATAAATCCTACTTACTGAGAAATACTTCAAACATTGCACAGATATCATAAATCTCCAGTGTTCTCTCATCCAAAAGAAACTAAATATTTGTGTGATGTATGCAAAGCTATACTTGGAATTCATTCGGATGTAATCCTTGGGCTGCTAGGAAAAGTGTTTTGTTACATGTTTATAGTTAACCTTATATAAATATTTTGTAAAAATCATAAAGTACCCAATCTGTAATTAGTAGGTGGCTTCAGTAGGTTGTCATGTTTTTTTAAGGACGTTTATTTAAAGTAGAAAGAGCTAACAATGAAAGCAGCAGGCTAGCAAGAACAGTTGGAACACATGATACTTTAGTTCTTTGTGCTTTGATAACTTCTACATTAGTGAAAGCAGATTTTATTCTGAGCACTGATATATTGAAAATAAAGTTGAAATTTTAATTTATTGAAGTATGAACACAATATTTTCCAATCTGTTTTTGAAATACGTCATGAATATTAAGATAGTATAAGCACTCGTTATTTGGTATAGTCAGTCACAGAAGAGTTTAATAATGCATCGGCGGAATTAACTTTCACCATTTACATTAACAATTACATGAGCCTATAATTGTTTATTTCATTTAGAAATGATGGGGAAAAAAATGGACCAGGAGAATGCTTGTTTCTGCTATTCTTTAATGCAGAAAGCCTTGTTTTGATTTAATCTTCTTGTGAAGATGGGATTGTAGGTAGAACCATTTGGTTGCTAGGACAACCTGGAATGTTCATTCAAAAGATTGCAGCATTGGACACAAAACACAAGGTGCTGGTAGTGGCAATCTTCTCTAATGTGATTTAAGGACACACTGCATGGCTTGTTACAATGGATTTTGAAATTTCAATAAATAATTTAAATAATGATTGAAACATACTCCTTGGATTCCCCCCCTCCCCCCAATTGTTATCATTAATCTTGCTACCCTCTACATGTTTATTTAATTCTAGGAAACGGCTTATCTGGAAAGAGGTACATGATAATAAAATGCATAAAAAATGCCAAAAATTAGTTACAAGCTATTTATTACTAAAAACCAGTCATGCTGTTTTATAGCAGTGGTTCTCAACCCTGGCATTCTTCAGAGGTGGAAACTCACAGAATTCCTCAACCAGAATGCTGCCTGGGGAATTCTGGGAGTTGCAGTCCACACCTCTTAAAAGTTGCTAAAATTAAGAAATATTGATTTATAGAATAGATGCTAATTTGATTTAGGGTATAAAAGTTTCCAGTGGGAATCTGAGCAGTGACAACATTGTCTGAATATTGATCTTTTAATGCAGGGATGACAAATGAAAAAAATGTACCTTTTTCTTGATTTTTCAAGAACAATAATGTCAGGTGAAAGAAGAGGATTTTTAACTTATTTTTCTTCGAGGGAAGGAAAGGTTTATATTTTATAAATTTCATGAGTTTAAAATTGGCAGCATAACCTCAGGAGACCTTAGGTACTGTGAAGAAAAAAAAATCAAACAAATAGAGAGTTCACATGAACTACTCAGTTTACCTTGAAAGCTGAATGGACTTAATTCTTCGCCAAGATTCTTATGAAAGTTGGCCTTATACACACCTGCTTGTATCTATCCTTACAAAGATCTTACAAAAATTCAGCCTTCAAATGCCTATTTTATACTGTTTGCTTTGCTAACTTAATTCACTTTCCCTCAGCCATAAGTCACAAGTCATCAACTACTGATGTCTGAATGGACTCACCTGTGAAATTTCTTGTCCACAGTCTGCCCTTATCATCTTCTGGGATAGTTTCTCGTCAGTTTGCTCTATAGCCTTGGCAGTTCTTCGTGGTCTTCTATCCAAATTCGAACCAGATCTGACCTTCCTTAACTTTCGGGGGCAAAACTTTTCCTTCAGCTATTACCGTACGTAGAGGATTGTTCAGAGAATATAAAGAGGCATGAGAGCAAATAACTGAGTCACTGTGGCAGCGTTTGTATAAAAAAGATGTATCCTTATTCCAGTAATCGACAATAATTTCTTTGACCTTATTTTCCCATCACTCTTCCTGTGCATGTATTTGTAATTAAATGTTTTTCAATCTAGAGCAAGTATTCCCCAGACAGCCTTGTATATAACTTGTCTCTCCTCAGCCAACCAGCCTTGTAATTTGCTTTCTCCCTGCTTACCTGGAGCACATGACTATTGTTCCATATTGTAACCACCTAAGTGGCAAATTTCACAAGACTGTGATAGTTGCATATGTAGTATTTTTCATTTTTATGTCTCATCTAAACAGCTCAGTTCTGCCAGTGTTTAATGTTGCCTTCTTTTCCTCATTAGTTTTGAAATAATTTTATACTTATGTCAAATAAAGTATGTTCAGTAAAGTATGAATAAATATTTATAATTAAATGACTTATTACAGAATAAAGTTGGTATACTTTGCAGTTGTTGTGGCCCACCAGTGGCCATTGAAGCTCGTGGCAGATTCAGACAGTGAGAAGGTTGGGGAGGAATATGGGTCAGTCCTGGAGTCTGGGGAAGGCTCTGATGAGTGCTCTGCATCGAAGGCAGAGATGGGTCCAGGGCCATCTGACAGTTATCAGCTGTCTTTGGAGTTGGACATCAGTGGGGCAGAAGAACAACTGGAGCCTGTTCCCAGTGTGCACATGCACAGAGCTGCCAGGAGAAGGGAACAGCTAAGGAACAAGGTTTGACTCAGGAATAAAGCCACAAGTGGACAGTGAATGGGCCCTCCCATAGGAAATAAAGAGGAGCAAAAGGGGAGTGGAATTTTCAGGAGACAAGTAGTTCAATTCATTAAGATCTGTTCCTGACTTCTTGCCAAGTATTCTCTGCTACAGAGTGGCGTTTGGAAGATATCGGCCGGGCAGCTCTCCAAGCCTGATAAAGGTCTATAGTGGTGCAATCTCTTGAAAGAATGGTGGCCGGGACTTTGCTGGAGAGGAATTCACTTTAAACTAAATAAAAGGGGTTTTGTCCGGACGAGGAGTTGGCTTTGTGCTTTTGGGAAGCCTAGGTCAGAACAGTAGTTACTTGGTCCAGTAATAGAGCTGGAAAACCTCTTGATCATCCAAAAACTCTATAGTGTGTGTGTGTGTGTGTGTGTATGTATCTACCTACCTACCTACCTACCTACCTACCTA